GGTGGGTGCACCCAAATGAGCAGCGTGATGCTCCTGATTTTTCTTTTAATTAAATCCTCCTGGAACAACACTAGGAAATGCTGGGGAAACATAGAGGAAGCTGGCTTTCTTGCAGAGTGCATGCACAGGGTAGGGAAATCCAATCCTAGCAAGGAGGAAGTGCGTTGCTGCCGTTGCATTGCAAGAGCAGCAGAGTTGCAAAAGCAACGGGGTTGGAAAACAGAAGGGTTGCAAAGCAGGAGGTTATGCAGCAGCCCTGCTGCAGCTCTGCTCCCATCTCCTTGCAGCTCCTTCGGATGTTCTTCCGGCAGCAGGACGAGATCCGGCGGCTGAAGGACGAGCTCTCGCAGAAAGACATTCGGATCCGCCAGCTACAGCTGGAGCTGAAGAATTTACGCAACAGCCCGAAGAATAATTAACTTCCAGGGACGTTTTATAAATAAACTCTCTTTGTTTATACTCGCTCTTTAATTTTATTGTATCCACTTACACAGAATACAAGCCAGAAGTCAAGTGACCTGCCAAGAGCCCACTGCTAACTGGAAACAAGTCCTCGTTGCCTCGTCTGCACTCAATGCAGCCGTGCTGCAGCTCCAGCACAAAGGGAGCTGAGTGCACTGGCTGCCCTGGAGCTTGCAGGAAGGCACCGTGGCTCCTCGCTATTAATTTTTTTCCTATGCAAAACGTGACAGAGATTCCCTCGGCTGCTAAACTGGACCTGGGTTAGCACAGCACGGGAGCTGCAAATGCTATTTGTGTGCGTGGTCGCACAGCGTTTCCTTTAGAAGAAAGAAAAATATTGAGAGCAGTACAGCTGGATGTCCTAACCAGAGAGGGATTTTTGCTCCTTCCCCTCCATGGAGGGACCTGACCTCCTCCTTTGTCACTGGACAAGTGCGGGTGCCCAGGCAGGGGCATGAGGGCACAGCACACACACGTGTACAATCACAGGTTGTGAATTAGGCCTTTAGCGCACAGAAAGACACCAAATACTGCTAGTTTCTCTCTTTTCACTAAATCAAGTCGCTGAGCTGCCTAGCACTACCTGTGCAATGGTTTCTCCCTGTTAATTTACATTGTGCCCCATACCCGACGCATCCCCATCTTTACGTTCCATGTGCTGTCATTGCCTATTATTTATGCTATCACGGACTAGTGACAAAATAAAATGTTTTCAAGATAGCAAAACCTTGCTGGCTGTTTCTTTCTTCAAATCACAAGCAACCAAGAGCCCTGGGCATGGGTCCCAAAAGGCTTTCCTTTGTAGGGATGAGAAATTCAACCCATGCCATCCCTTCCCCGGCCCCATCCTGGTCCTGCGTGGGGTTATCCATGTCTGTGTCCTTATCCAAACGCAGCATGCTAACATTTCTTTAAATCACCCTTTGCATGGGAAGATGGATTGTTTCTCCCAAGCCCCTGGAATCCACGTGAAATGAGCCCAATTATGGCTGCAGGTGGGGATGATTTATGAGCCCATCAGCATATCCGCACACATCAGCACAAACCCAGCACTGAGGGGGGGATGTGGGTGCCCGCCCTCTTTCCTACTCCCCAGGTCCTCTCAGCCCCATTAAAGCCCCACAGACAGACAAGCCCCGGTTCTGCAGTTTCTAGGGCAAAGCCTGGGTGAGGCTATTGCTGCTCCTGTGCTTGCACCTTTTCCTCCAGCTCCCTCCTCTCAGTAACAGCTTGAATTCTTCCTGACATCTCCTCTCACACCATCTGGGTGCTATTTAAAGCAGAAAGGCCCATTTTGGGGAACTCGAACCATCCAGTTTTAGCACTGAGCTCTCTGTGCTGCTCCAACCTTATGGCTCACCATAAGGACCAACCCAATCTCCCCTTGTCCCTGCAGCATGGGGCCAGGAGACCACTTCTGCACTGGGCTGCATCCCAGCCGCTGCTTTTGGGAGTGGGGGGTGTTTCAGCACTTCTGGGCAGTCTGCAGTGTTTTACCAGGATCTAAATAAGACCCATGACGCAAAGTTCCCAGCTATTTTTTCCATTTCTCTTGCAAGCGTTACAATTTGCTTAAAGCCTAAAGATGCTTCCCTTGCTTCCTGGGATGCACAGCACCTCCAGGACCTTTTGCAACCTCAGCAATTCTGAAACACCTGATTTAGCTGCAGGATTTTCCAGGCTCTCCCCACACAAATCCAGGCAGAGGGCTCACCGTTCATTTATGCTGCTGATGGCACAGCTTCAGGGACAGTGGGTTAGAAGGAGAAAGGATTACAGAACTCAGCCGCCAGCAGCAGCAGACGGCCCCTTCCCGGCACAGCCCTAGCCAGGGATGTTTCCTTCCTGCTATGCTTTCCCCATCCGTGCTCAGCCTTATCACCCTGACCTACTTTCTGCTTCCTGGAGCTTGTGCTCTGTTGGAGGCAAAAGCTTGGCTTGGCCGCGTGGTATTTCCCATCCTTTGCATTATTGGTTCCAGCATCTTCAGAGCGAGCGCCTGCTGGAAAGGATTCCTGGTGATCAAACCCCTTTAACTTACAGATGATATAAGAGCTGCTGTTTGAAAGCGAAAATCGAGCAGATTAAGAAAAGAAGAGCCCCTGTGTTTTTGTCTGTCAGTTAGATCAGTGGAGTTTCCCATCAATGAGCTGAGGGTGCTGCTGGCCCTCCCTTCCCCACCACCCTGAGGCTCCATGGCTGCAGCCGCGCGCTCAGGGCTGCCCTTGGGAGCTCAGATTTCTCATAGCTAAAAAGAAAAGAAAAAAAAAAAACAAACCAACAACCCACTTTTTAAAAACGACGCACTGCTGCTTTTTGACCTAAAGCAAGATCCCCTGCAAGGAGGCTTTCAAACACAGCCAGGGCTCAGCATGGGAACATTCCATCCCCTGCAATATTGCCCAGCAGCACTGAGCTTCTGAGCGCAGCTCGGACTGCATGGCAGCAGAATTACAATTATAGCAAAGGTGCTCTAGGAAGGTGTTAGAAGTAAAGACGGTGGTTTTCTCACAGGAGGGATGTTCGAAGAGCTTGGCTGGTTCTCCCTCTGCCGATGCTTCCATTCTCCGTGCACGTTTTGCACTGGTACAGCTTCCAATCGTAACAGAAAAACAGAAACTCCAAACAGAAGATTGTTAAAGCCTTGCCAGAAATTCTCCACCGGGTTTTTGTTGGCTCTGGGAAGAAGGAGTGAAAGCAGCAGTGTCAACAAACAACTGATAGCAGAAAAGGAGCACGATGCCATTCTCCAGCCCAAACACTCAGGAGAAAGTGGGAACGGCCAAGCTGAGGAAAACAGGCATTTGAATGAGCTGAACCCGCCTGTTATTTATTTTTACTTTTTCTTGGGCTTTCCTGCTGATCTCTTACTAAACATCAGGCTCTGGGCAGTTTTTTTTCCCCACGAGGAGGCTGCAAGTTGGTACCTCTAGCCACTTAGGAAACAGACCCTTGGCAGGCAGCACATCAATGCCACACTTCGAGAAATAATTAGGAAATCAGCCACATTAAGCAAAGCTCAGTTTTGCTCTCAGTGATGGCAGCAAAGCCTTGCAGCAGCCCCCTCCCAGCACAAGGGTGCAACCAAAATCCTGCTTCCTACCTGCAGCCAGTGTACCAGCAGTGCTAAACCACGCACAGTGCTCTGCTTCAGCAGGCAGGCAGCAAACAGCAGCCCTGCATAGCAGCAGGCTCACTGCTGCACTTCTCTTCGGGAAACCTCATTAATTTCAAAGTAAGCTTTGAGATAATCAGCAGTACAAAGAGAAGTGTCACTTAATTGACACCTGGGTCAGTCACTGCTTATGAAAGGGAAGAGCTTAGGGGTGTCTGCGCGTTTCACAGATGAAAGTAAGAGCTGCTTTGCAAGGCAGTGGTGGCTCGCTGGAGCCCATGGGTGACAAAGGTTAAAACAAATGTCACTTCAGCACTGCCATGTGAAGCTGTGTTGCTGCATCTCCCGCATGCAAAGGGGCACAGGGATGCAGTGTGCTCATTTCCAAGTCTCTGGCTCGTTCTGAAAGATGGGTCAGGTCCAGCTGCTGCTGAATCCTTTGAATAGCTTGAGTGAAAACTTCCATCTTTGGAAAAACGCTTAGAGGCCAAGCTTGCCAGTACAAAGCTCACCTGAAACCTTTGAATTTGAAGCCGGTTCAATGACACAAAGGCTCTGTTTGGGTTGGAGCTTCTGAGCTCTTCAGTTTGTCTTTGCTACTGGTTGCTGCTGTTTGCTTTGCAGGACTATGACCTATTGCTGGGCTATGGCTTTGCAGCAGCAGACCCCGGCTGGGGTGGGAGCAACAGCTTGCCTGCTTCTCAAAAACAAACAGCCAAAAAAGCCCACAAACAAAACCCCAACTAACACCACCACCAGCCTGCCTCTTACAATAAAAAGATCTTTTCAAAGAGATCCGATGAAGGATGAGCTGCATATGATCTTCTGCAGCTCCTCGCTCTCCTCTTGCATGGCACATACAGACATGCTGAAGTGCTCAAAATACACAGCCTGCTCTGCCGTTCACCTCTCAAACAACTCTTTCAAAGAGGAAAACGCAGAGGCTTAGCTGAGGACTGGCTGAGAGGAACAGGAGGATGGCTTTGGGTAAGAACGAGTGATGTTCCTCAGGCCCCAGATACACTAACCTGGGGCTCACACAGAGCCTCACTTGGATGAAGGAAATCAAGATGCTTTCTTCTGGGCCGGGATAAACAGGGTAGGATTAAACAGACAGCAGAAACGAACGTGCCGGACTGCACTAATCACGTTGCTCACACTGAAAAAACCCACTTGTTCTGAAAGAAAAATGGCATGCTATTATTTACAGTGAAGTCAGAACCTCTCCCTTGGTTTCACCCAACCGTGGATAACAGTTCTGTAGAGCAAAACATATCATCAAGCTACTAAAAATATCAGGGCATTTACCAGAATAACTTACTGAATGCCTTTTGAAAAAGGTATGCAATTCATTCCCAGTGGCACATTTTACTCAAATAAGCCACAGAAAAAAATTGTATAAAAAGATTTATTGAAATTCATCAATGACAAACAGACATAAAACTCAAAGTTTGGCTCTTCTGGGGAAAAAAAAACAAAAAAAACCAAAAAAAACTGTTGCAAATGTATTTATACAGATGAAATATTGACTAGGAAATACAAGTCACTTCTAAAGCTATTTTAAAGAGGGATATGAAAGTAAAACTGTACATTCACTAGGTATTTTCAGTCATTTTACTGACTTCCACTAGGTAAGAAAATACAATTTCGTATTAGTATCTCGTGCTTGAGTGTATGAAAAGAAACTTTCTACCCTACATGCTGTACTGCCTCCTGTATTTAGGTTTGTAAAAATTTTCCAAGTATATAGCACAAGTGGAAGTAGTTTCTCATCACTTAAAATTGACTAGGTGTTATATATTACAGACCAAAATAGTACACACCTTATTTAAAAGGGTTGAAACATTTTTTTTATTACAATTGTCAAAGTCATTTCACTAGTAACTCAGGAATTAGGAACACTTTTTATATATATTTATATATATATATTTAAATGCCTGCCATTTTCAGTGTATTGGCTGTACCCTAGCCATAAACAAACAACCAAAAAAAAAAAAAACCAACCAAAAAAAGAGAAAGGAAAAAAGAACACAACACACAGGGGGAGGGAGGGGACTGCAAATTCACCCCACAAACCAGATCCAAAGGAACACCCCAAAAAAACCCCCGGAAACATTTGGTCACTATTTACAAACAGCAAAAGGAAAGGTACCTACAAAAAGCAGGGAAAGCAATGGCTGAAAATGGCAGTCATTCACGGACAGGCAACAAAGAAATCACTTTATCAATATGCCATTCTCACACCTGTTGCTGCAGAGGGATGCTTTGCCTAAATTAGGAGCACCCCCCAAAAATGCTTACAATGTATTCTGTGACTGGCAGAGGTGGAAAACTTCAACAACCAAGGATATCCAGCCATCTCAGAACAAAGCATGTGTATTTGGGGTATCGTCCACTGATTTTAAAACTTTTTTTTCTTTAGGGATGTCAAACTATCCACTCCAATAATAAGAAACAAATTACCACTTGGTTTATACTTACTATTGCAGTTACAGGGACTAAAAGAGGGACAAAAAGAAAAAAAATATATTAAATGAATAGGAGGAGGAGTGGCAGTAAAAATAGTATTTTATTCCCTTGCCCACCCAGTCTGCTTCTCCCTCTCATTCCCACAGCAACATTACAATCAGGAAAAAAAAAAAAAAAAAAAGAAAAAAAAAGAAAAAAGGTTGGGGGTGTGGGGAGGGAAATACAGGGTAAAAACAGTCAAATCACAATAGGAAATTTTCAAAATAGGTTATTCAGTTTAGTCATCTTCATCTCCTTCGTCTTCGGGTTCTCGTTTCCTCTTCTGTCCCCGTTCTTCATCTAAAAAAATAAAATACAACTTGAGTGACATGAGAGCTTCCACAAGTGGCTGAGTGGGCAAGTTCAGCGAGTTCTACTCTATTGGCAATTGGCCAAAGGAGCAGGAATGAAAACACAAGCCTGCTTTTTAGAAAGTTTATATAGTTTATATATATATATATATATATATCTTTTTTTTTAATCTCAAGGAAAAAGTGGATTACTGCCATACCGGGTTCTTCTTCATCTTCATCATCATCTACGTCACCATCATTATAGCCTTCCTCATCCTCCTGGAAAAACAACAACATCAAAAATAGGTAAGAAAGTTGATTTCAGCTCAGCATCTTTCACAATTTGGCAATATCCAGACAGAAAGTCCTTGAAGCACCTTAAAAACCAAACAAAAGGCAGACACTTCCCACACACTTATATAAGTGCAATTGTTGGAAGTCTTTTTTCTGCAGCATAACTGGACTCCGGCCCAAGTTTCATTGCAGAAAATCATAGCACCACTTCTAGCTTCAACTCTTCAGCAAGTAAGTGGTTTCATACTTCAGACAATAAGTAGCTGCAAATTTTGTTATGATGTCCTGAGTTTAGTAAAACTTGATGACTGCTACTTATGATAGCTCAGCAGAAGGCACACATTCGATGGGTAAGGAGAGTTACAACATGGACAGACATCTGCAGATTCTGAGCAGCTGACCTCCCGCAGACAAATTTCAGCCCCATTCCCAGTGATTCTGTTAACAGTGAAGTCTCAGCAGAACATGAGCAGCTTGTCACGCCCTACACACAGCAGCAGGACTATGCTAAGAATTCAAGCATCCTGAAGAATCACAAGGCACACATACAGAGAACCTTTAACTAAGACCATAGGGTCAGTAACTCATGTCCCACTCCTGTCCATAAACCCAGCCCTTCAGAGGCCCCATTTGCTAGGTCTGCAGACATTTCTGATAGTACTTTTACTTTTGACATCAGCAAAACCAGAATGATTTCATGTCAGTGGTCACTAGATGGCAGCTGGCTCACAGACAGGCAGTCCTCAAAGACACCCTCACTGTGATGCTTCTCAGGTGAAAACAGAAAGCATGCAAGTGCTTTCTGGAAAAAGCCTGCAACCTTCTGTCCGTTTCGTGCCCAGCTATTCCCAGTTATGGTATGTTCACTTCATACCATTACTAGCTGCATAAATCCTTACCTCTTCCTCTCCGCTTACGTCCTCCTCTTCTCCTTCCTCTTCTTCCTCCTCATCCTCTTCATCTTCTACTACCTGAGCATCATCATCATACTCCTCTTCTATATAGTTAAACAAGATTAATTACTCAGACATTTAAAATTTATTTTTTCAACACTGCTATAAGATATAGGACCTAATTGAGGGACAAGGAGCAAACAAAGCATTGCTTAAATGCAATACAGAATCAAAAGCTCTCCTGCTGCTGGACAGGGATAGGCGCAGTTCTGTTCCTCTTTAGCCAAGCAACAGGGTGGTGTGACAGCTGTCTCCATGGATGGAGCTGCTCCAGGGCTGCAGGACATTTGACAGCAAGTCACAGCAGCCTCAGGACTGCTTCAGCTGCTCCAGTTCCCACTACTGAAATATGTTTTAGAGCTTCTGGAACACCTTGCAGCTTTTCAACTGCAAGTGTCCATCTTTTTCCGACAGCAATGGGATGGAACTTTTTACAAGCCAACTGTGCAGTGGGAACTCTCCCTAGGGGAAGCACCTTGCCTGCATGCAGCAATACAAAGGGGGTCACAATCCACCATATGAATTTGCAATTTGTTTTCAAGAGGAAAGTACTTAAATGCAACCAGCCCAAGCAACAAGCCAAGAATGTTTCTCATGCTGCAGGAATGGTGTTCTGGGAGCTTTCTCATGCATTTCAGCACAGGCTCAGACTTGTGCTCTGATGAAGAGAACCTGTCCATGCTGAACCTTTGTGCTGTTGGATGAATGCACCAGTCTGCCTGGCATTGCTGCAGCTCTCACCCCTTTCACCAGGGCTCACATTCAGCACTCAAGGGAAAAGTGCAAGTCCAGCTATTCTGCTTTTGCTGTGCAGCTGGGTTTGAAGAGTCTAGCAAATTCCCCAAAGTCAGCCTGATACTCATCCAACCAGCACACTGATGCCTGAGTGCAGTCTGCTAGGGAGGCAGAATGGCGCTTACAGCACAGTGGAATCCACAGTTCATTTTCCTATTATTAAAAAGTTGCTTGCTACTTCTTAGTGCCTTTCACAGAGCTTGCCCCAGGCAGGCTTCAATACATACATTCTCCACTCTTTTGCCTGATCCCAATCAGTTCAGCTCATCCTCAAAGACAAGCTATAACCTCCCAGCAATGCTTTAGTTTCTCCACTTGATCCCTTGACTCAGCTACTCTTTTCTAGGCCCACTCTGGTTTCCTGCTCTGCCCTTCTCTGCCAGGGTCTTTGCAACCACACACACTTCCCTGATGGTTCCTGGAAAACCAAATGGTGTGGATCTCATCTTTTCTTATGTTTTTCCCTTACATACTCCATACTCATCCCCTGATGCTTACGGTTCCCTTAACTGTTCTGGTGTCCTTACTGCTCGTCTTCTTCCTTCTGACCCCTTTAGTCTATAGCCTTTCACTCCCCATCTTTCAGCTGAAATAAGCTTGAGAAAAAAGCTCTCTCAGGCCGTGCCCATCTCCATTCCCCTTGCTAAGGCTGAAGTACTTCTCTTTTACATCAGTCAGCTAGAAGCTGCTGAGAACACCTTTCTCTTGCCAATAAGCCAGAGCTGGAAGCAAAACATACCACACAGCATATCAATCATCCAACTTAGGTACACCAAGCAGCACAATTCACATACCATCTTCATCTTCCTCCTCATCGTCCAAGCCCTCCACGTAGCCCTCTGCATCAGAGTCCGGTGCTTCTTTGTCATCCCGATCTTTCACTAGAGATAAGACTGAGAAAGTTGTTCTTTCAGGCCCTGACCACCTCCTTTCCCCTCTTTCCTTCAGAGGACACTGAGGTACTTCTCCTTTACATCAGTCAGGAAGAAGCTGCTGAGAACACCCTTCTCTTGCCAACAAGTCAGAGCTGGAAGCAATATGTACTAGGCAGCATATTGCTCTTTTAACTTACACACACTAAGTAGCACAATTCACATACCATCTTCATCTTCCTCCTCATCGTCTAAGCCCTCCACGTAGCCCTCTGCATCAGAGTCTGGTGCTTCTTTGTCATCCCGATCGTAGCCATCGAGGTATGTGAGTTGTGGGAGGAGCTTGAATACGTTTTCTCTATAATCATTCAAGTTGGTTACCTCGCAATTGAAAAGATCTAAACTCTTCAGGTTTTCTAACTTTTTCTGCAAGGAAAGAAAAGTCTCTGAAGTTCGATGTTACAATAAAACTGTACAGGACAGACACTTTAACAAGAGCTTCTCGGGACAAAAGGAGTCATTTCAGCCTCTGCCTACCAAACTGGGGCAGAACAGAAACCTGCAGTGTCTGGGCAGTGCTGCTGCAGTATCTGTGAGTGGAAAAGACTCTCTTAACTTAAGCACCTTGCAAGTGGAAGGCTGAGATTTGAAAAGAGGTAATGGTACAAAAATCGCATGTGTTGCGAGGGACCAAGTTAAGAATAACTAGCAGAGCAGGGAGTTATCCTAGAAGGACTACTATTCACAATGGAAAAGGAAACAAACTATTCTTTAGACACAAGAACTTCTCTAGAAGAGATTTTAAAAATTTTGATGATTGTACCTTTGATTTTGGAAGAATGAGAAAAGGACTCAGAAATCCAAAAGGGAATTTTTTTGGGGTAAGAGGTCTGCATTGCCAGCAGCACTTCAAAGTACTAACAATAAAAGTGCAAGCAGAGCAGTTAAGGATTTGTATCAAGTCTTATGAAATATCTCTCTTCCAGAGTTTAGTATGTACAGCAATAGTGACATCAAGAAAACAAGTATGAAACAGGGAGTAGTTATAATCCTCTCTCATCTATTGGCTGTATGAGTTTACTGCTCTGCTTTCCCCTCCTCCTGGAGGGAAGGAGAGCCAAGGACTCATTTGAAAAATGCTCTTCAAGACATTTAGGAGCAAGTATTTGGGAAGTGGGCATTGAAAGCCTTCATTTCTGGACAATAAAGGGCACACAGTACCATTTCCTAATTTTTGGTTTAAAAAGCACTATTAGAAGCAATAGTTGATTTCTGGGAATTAGTTGGGTTTTGGGAACAGCAACCTGATAAACCTGAACTCAGCACTGAAATAAGGAGTATATACCAGCAGTGAGCAGGACACAATGATGGAAACCAGGAGGAAGGAGCTGGAAATTTAGCTCGAAGAGCTGCCTCTTGCTCGATCCCTCCTCTCGAATCATCATGGTGCAGCACTGCTTTGCTTCTCAAGGCACCCCATAGGTGACACCATCCCCGGAGCGGGGCTGTCCCACACCGCCCGAAGCCGGGACAGCCCCGGGCTGCTCCGGGCGGAGCGCTGGCCGCTAGGGGGGAGCAGCGGCTCACGCTCCCCGCGGGGACGCCCGGCTCCGGCTGCTCGGATGGCACCGGCGGAGCACTGCAGGTGTCAGCCAGATAGCAAGGGCCACCAGGCTGCAGAGATAAGCACCGGGGCTGAAGACATTCAATTGAAAGTGGATGCAGAATGTCAAAACGCAGAGCGTTGTCTCTGCCAAACCAGCGCTTTGCCCCTTCTCTTCAACAACAAAATTAGTTTTTATTTTGCTTTATCCACCGACTTACCAGAGGTTCTATTGTACCAAGATCTTTTATTTTGTTGCCACTTAGATTTAGATGCGTGAGGTTTGGACACTTTTCTGCCAACACTTCCAGTCCTCCTGAGACTCTGTTGTCACTTAGCTCGAGCTAAAAGGCACAAAAACACCTTGAGTTTCTAGTGCAAACATGCATCACAAAGCAGCTTGGTCAGTCATAAATCACATTTTTATGCAGACAACCATTTTACATTCAGCATATTACAAAGAGGAGGAGAAATGATATCTTTACCTTCTTAAGTTTGTTTAACTTTGGTAAGTTTGCAACTGAGGTTAAGCCTACGTTGATTGTACTCAAGAATTCCAGCTCTTCGAACTCATCTGTGAGGCCTTCAATTTTGCCTTCGTATGACCTACAGTTGTCAAGAACAAGTTCCTTAACCTGGAAAGAGAGCAATGCAAAGTGCACATAAGCAGCTCTGTATGGAGGATAAAGAGTTCACTCACAAGCAAAGGACAACGCAGCTCAGGCAAAAAATGAAACTTATTCCATCGGGTTGGCAAGTATGCAAAAGGTTATTTTCTGTGCCTGATCCCTAATTTTGCTAGCATGCCAATTAAGCAGCGTTTCAAAAACACGGATATTTAGCTTTGCTTCAACTGTTCACCTCTGTATTGTTCGGTAAAAAGCATAACCAGTTCAAAAACATTAATCCTGGCTTGAAAGATTTGGTTCTTAGAACTATTTTTTGCAAATGTAAGCAATAATCATTGTAAAAAAAAAAAAAAAAAAAAATATATATATTTTTAAATGAACCTACCACCCTGACACTGTGATATACAGTGTGCTACAATAACGTGTCCTCGTTTATTAAAACAGCTTCTTTCTACCATGTAAGGTTTACTGAAGAAGCATGTAGAGATCTGTGTCTGTTCTGAAAAGCCAAATGTGGGCTCTGGCAATCCTAACCCAGGCAGTCAGAGCCCACCTGCATCCCTCAGGCTGCTTTAGGGGGAGATGTGCTCCGTGGTGGCACCTAAATGCTGGGGAACTGCAAGGAGTGCTGCAGGCGATGCTGGAAGGGGAGGTTTGGTGAGCATTGCTGCTGCTGCAGCCTCTTTGTCTCTTATCTCCCCTGCCCTGATGCAGCGAGCAGCTCAATGGGAGGGGTGGAGATAATGTCTCACAGTCCTGAGCAGCACAGGACTGCCTGGTAAGGGGTGGTTGTGTTTGCTTTTGTCTGAAAAACTGATCCCCACTCTCTTTGCAGGTGCTATCTCCAATGGACACTGAACAGCAGCATTCATGCAATAGAGAAGCTGAACGTGCCCCACCCTGAACAAGGCTGCTGTTTTTCACCCTAGTGCCAGGGCAGCCTTACAGGAGTCAAGACCATTAGCAGCAAACATGAAATGGGCTTTTCTGGGCTCTCTGTGACTCCACAGGAAGGTCCCACCCACTGGGAGAATACGCAGACATTTTCACACCAATGAAGAATTTCTGGGGGTTATTTTGTCCCCAATACAAACACCTGGAACAGCAGAACAGCACACCTCTCTGCATGCCCTGCAGAGCCCTCCTGCACCAGGCAGCCAGAGAAGCCTCCAGCTCTGGGGTTTGTTTAGAGGTCTGTAAAAGGACGGGGTGCTGCTGTCTGCTAGGAGGATGGGATAAAGGGAAGTTTACAAAAAGGGCATATATGGAACATGAAGCAACTATTCAGGTCACACCAAGGACAGTTAATATGCAAATATTTTCTTTCTTTCTTTTTTTTTTTTTTTTAAATTACTGTAGCCCTGCTGCACAGAGAAGAATCCTATGTAGTTTTATGGTTCCAAATAACATCCCTAGATTTCTAATTAAATCCCAGGCACTGAAGTCAATAGGGAAGTCAGCCCAAAGCAACACAAGAGTACAAGTGATTCATTGAGTAGGAGGACCAGAGTTAGACAGGAAATACGTTTTCCAAGACTCCACAATTTTCCTAGAAGAATGATGATAGGGAATGACTACATAAAGCTCTTCCAGAAGAACTTTAGGCTGGCTAGAAGAAACTAAAAAAACAAGTCAAATGCTTCAGATTCCCCATACATCAATTCCACCAAAAATTAAAAACAAACAGAAAAAAAATCAACCCACTTTCTTTAAAATACAGACAGCAGGAAAGCAATTTTAAAGGCACATATGCATATCTCATTACTGTAACAGTATGCAACTATTGGGGTCCTACAGCAAGACCCTTTGGGTGCACATACACTCAGTTGTCTCAGCCATCTGTTTCATAGGCACACAGAGCTCCCACCAAAAAGTTAAAAAAAAAAAAAATGAAAGAAAAAAAGAAAAAAGTGAAGTGAAAGGCTCCACCCCAACCCCAGCAGCTGCACCCCATGCCTATCTGTGTGTGTCCTTGCTCAGCAGCCTGCAGAGCCCTTCGCCTGCCCTGTTATCTTTGCGGGTCAGTGCCCACCCATGCACAAGAGCAGCAATCCTCCTCCCCCTTTGAGGCTGCTGCCCATGCAGAGTCCTTTTGGTGTTATTCTCTTTGCAAAAGGCCAGAAGAGGAAGTTGGTGAGAGCACGAGAAAGATGAAGCAAAGCAGGAGGGAGTGCATGAGGGGTAATGCTCGCAGCCTGCAGCCAGCACAGCACTGCACTCGGTGTCAGCCACAGCTCTAAGCTATGCACACCAAAGCATGAAGTGAAGTGAAGCAGTACCTGAGCCCCAATAGGGAAAAGCATCATTTGTCCTCGCCTCGTAAAGGAGGAACATCCCTCCATCCCACCCAAGGGCAGGATGGAGAAACAGCAAATGGGGAACAGGGCAAAGCTTCCTCCAGTGTAGAGAGATTGGAAGGGGAGCAGGAAATAGCCATGTGTAAAAGAAAAACTTTTCAATATGGTGGCATAAAATTGGTGACCATTCTAGTATGGTGGCCAACTGGATTCTACTTTTAGTCTACACCTGCTACAGCAAGACCGATGTTTCCTGTCTTTCAGAAAACTTTGGTTTTGATTCAGAATTGCAACACTCTTCTCCTTGCTGTGCCCAGTATGCAAGAGAGAAGCAAAAGGTGACTTTAGGAGAGCTACATTCCACACAGAACAGCTCGCTACCACGAGGGGATTACACACCTATTTGTCTTCAGAAGTCTTCAAAATTTGAAATGAAAATTCCACTCCGAGTCACTCTCCAAACATCTACCCGACTTCCCATGAACACCCTGACAGTACACAGCAAGACTGTAATTTTACCTGTCTCTTTCCTCATACTGTGTCACCAAAACACAGAATCAGCCCTTGATGATGTAAGCACCCTTCCTGAGTCTTGCTATAAGCCTGAGCCAGATGAGTAGGCTTCAACTGGTCTGAACCAATCTGGCTGTGTCACACTGCAGTCTGCGTAATAGCATGGATGTAGATGAACAGTTGGAACTAAGGGCAATAGCATGAACCTGTTTGGAGAGACAGAAGGTAATAAGTGTAATAAGTGCCCTGAGCTAGCTTGTGTTTAGCTGCAAAGACAGGAAGACCCAAGTTGCAGAAGTTGCATGTGGTCAACCTTACTACTGTACACATCACAACGTGCAAGCTACTCAACACACTAACTGGAGCGAGGACCAATCTAGGCAGTGCTAACACAAGACAGATCTTTGCTTGTCATTCCCTCTCTCCCCAGAGTAGTGCTATACAGTACCGCTATACTGCAAGAAACAGCAGAAGAGCAACATGCCATAGGCAACCAACGACTGCAGGTGACACTGTGATACTTACCTAAACAACTAAGAAGGCACCCACAGATGAGTGTCTAGCAGAAAACCTAACATGCATGTAACTAGGTTAGGTCCTGTAGCAAACAACCAAGTCTTCAACAGCACCTACACCTGCTTGGGTAGGAATGTTCCACAGCTGCTCTGCCTTCTTGTTCAGCTCATGTTCAGCCCTGCGCCTCCTTGCTCTGTCCAGCGGGTGCCAGCTGCTCAAGCAGGTGATCCTGCTCATCTGTGCACCGCCACTGCAGCGCTGTGGTTTGCTGGTACCAACCCTCGGTTTTCATATGCGTGCACATAAGCAGATTGCAGCTTCTTCAACAAATCCTGAGACAGCATGCCTTGGGCCTCTTCCCCTGTGGCCATGCCAGTGTCTGTTTGCAACGGTCTCAGAGGCATTCAGAAGATGACATCATGCTGCTATTAACACATGCTGCGCTGCTGGCTGCAGATTACAGCATCCTCTGTATCTCTTCAGGACTTTCATGACATCACACCCTGTACTACTGCCTAATTGATAACCAGGGACTCTTATCTCTTTCCTAGTACGGTTACCACATTAAGCTGTATGCCCAGCTGTATGGTATTCTTAACACAGCCACGCGTACTGCAAGACTCCAACCTGTTCCTAGGCCAAGTACAGGCAGTCACGTGTAAGCAATGACTGAATTCCATGGCAGCACTAGCAAGAAGATCTCCAGCTCACTCACTCCTTTTCTGCGACCATACTCTAAATGCACAATCAAGGGAATACAGCTACAGACAGCTACTATGCAGCACAAGGTATCACCTTAACCCTTAATCTGCATTTCCACAGGAGCATGTAAAAAAGGCTTTCTGAAGTACAGACTTTCTCTACAGCCCCTGGGCAGGGAGACCCAGAAGTGGGACTAAGCTCCCGACTCCAGGTCTGTGATTGAAGGCTTAACAATGCACAGAAGGACACAGCTGTGAATACAATTTTTAAAAGATAAAAGGCAAATTTACAAGTACAAGTACCATTCTGTGGCTTCAGAAGCAGAACTGCTAAGACTGTAACATCTCATTTTCAGCACAATGGATCAGATGCTTTTGAAGTGTTTGCTGTATATGGTGCCCCTAGGATAGGGATAGCTCAGCGTGTGGCATTTTAACCCCCCAGAAACAGGAAAAGATGAGGGTGTTAACTCTGTCTTGCTCTGTTCCCAGCCAAAAGCCAGGGGAACACTGAGATAAGTCCTTCACACCTATTAACCCAATGGAAACTTTGTCTGGAACAAGGCAGAGAGTTGAAAGTAGGGAGGGGAAACCAAGGGAAGTCAGCTGTGGTAAGTGGAAGCCATGCACAAATTACTTGTGAAAGCAGAGTTTTATTCTCTCCTAGCTGTGCAGACATTTCTTCAAGACACTTGGGTTTGCGCCTTTGGGACTTTTTGCTCTCAGAAGCATGCTCGATCTGTGCAAAGCCCTGCATCAAAGAGAGACCTCAGAGCTGTCTGTTGTAACCAATCCGACAAAGATTGAGCTCCTTCCAGTTCCTGGATCCGTACCCATGTAGATAGAGCTGGCGATCCTTGAGCAGAAATTGATCTCTTTGGGTTTCTGTTCCACTCAGTTTGTGCCCCAAAGCTGAAGAGTAACCAGCCCTCTGCAGTCAGGATATTCTCATTTGCTAGGGGCCGAATGCATCCAACCA